TGTACAGCAGTAAATCATTATGTGTCAAAATCAGCATTATGCAACATTGCCTAACTTGATGAGCAGTTTATCAAACTAGTGTATGGTGTTTTTGCATGTTCGAAAACTAGAGCTGATGGGAGGTTTCAATCTAACCATAGTGAGATGCTTGCTTGTACAAAGACGAGGTATCACCTGTATCACCTGTACCCCGTTGATCATCGTGTTGCGCGAGAGGGTACTAGTGACGCCTCCATTCGTCCCCGTCCTAGGCGATTGTTGGCCACGTTTACATATCGCACCAAGAACGCGTGGAACTCTCTCAAGGACTTCATTAGAGGACTTCGTGAATATTCGACCATTGCGTTGGCGGTCTTCCTCGTTCGCGTTTGACGTCAAGTGGTGTTGTCCAATCTGTTACAGCTCTCGTCCACAAGTTGTCGTCGAAAAGCGTCACGCGCCCGACCCATCTTATCTTGTTCTGCTTGGCGGACGCGGCAGAGTCCCTAATTTTCGATTGTTGACGTAGGGTAGAACTCTGTATCCCTTGCCTCACTTGCATAATTCGGCTCGCTTCTGGTAACATTCCTTCAATAGCACATTCGATAACGCTAATCTCATCCTGCTTCCTAATTGTCCACGTTTCTAAAGCGTACGTCAAAAGCAGGAAGAACCATCGAGTTGAAAAGGTGGGCGCGGAGCCGGATGTTCTCAGTCTTCTTCACTACGTTTTCAACTGTCTGATATGCTCCCCATGCTGCACGTTTCCTCTTGCTCAGTTCCGGAGCTAGATCGTTCATCATATTCAGTTGGTAGGTGTAGCTTGAGCATTCGGTAATGTTCGTCCCGTTGAGCATGAAAGGAGCATGAGGGATTCTTTTGTTTATCATGAACATCGTCTTCGTTAAATTCAGCCTTAGACCGATCTTCCCCACTTCGTTAAACTGGGCCAGCATTTGTTCCAGCTGCATGACGGTGTTGTCAATACGATGTTATTAGCAAAGCGAAGGTGGTGTAGTTGCCGGCCGTCAACTTTCACTCCCATGTTGTCCCATTCCAACTTACGCATGATATTCTCCAGAGCGGCACTGAACAGTTTTGGCGATATAGTATCCCCTTGTGGCAAGCCTTCCTCTTCGCGTCGATAATGATGTCCTTAGAATGGTGTGATGCTGGTCGTAAAGTCATTATACAGCTCACAAATTATCTTGATGTATTGAGTAGGAATACCTTGATTTTTTCAAGGCGTAGATGACGGCTTCATTCTCAACAGAGTCAAAGGCTTCTTTACGTCGATGAAGGTGAGACAGAGCGGCATTTTGTACTCGCGTCACACTTCAATGAGCCTTGACACCGTGTGTATATGGTCTATCGTGCCGAATCCTTTTCGAAACCCAGCTTTCTCGCACGGTTGTCCTTCATCTAACTCCTTCTCTTCCGATCCTGTTGAGAATAACTCGCGTAAGGAGTTTGCAGACTACAGACAACAAGCAGATAGGGCGAGAATTGCTGCGCAGGAATCCCCCTTATTGTGCAGCAACACGGTCTTGCTGGTTCCAATGTCTTGGGACCTTGCCTTCCGTCAGGATGAGCCTTGCCAAGCTCTTGATAAGAACTGGCGAAAGATCTTCAAATGTTCTGGCTTGATCTCCTGTCGAGATCGGGTGCTGGCCGGTTCTTTATCGACATGATAGCATGACGAATCGCGGAAGGAAGAACGAACGGTGCGACATATTTGTCATCCTTGAGATGGCGTGGTTTGCAAGGAGACCTGAGTAGAAATCGTGGATGACCTTCTCCATTGATCTTCGGGAAGCAGTTATGGTTTATGGTTCCTTCAGGACGACGAAGTGCGGTCATCTTTGTGTTGAAGTTGACGAAGCTTCGGCGGGGGTTGAGCATACTTCCTCCAGCCTTCGCAGCTTCAACTACCACCGGTATTCTTCTCTCACTGAGGTCTTCTTTTATCGCTTCTCTGCACCGCTTCGCAAGCTTGGACATCAATCGTAGTTACCTGTGGCTCATGCGCGTTCTTCACGTTGGCGCATCAGCTCCAAAATCTCCGCGGTGAGACTCCTCGTACTTCTCAGACCCTGAGCTGCCTTGGCACAATCGTGGAGATATTGTACGAACAGTTCCTATTCTTGTCGATGTTGTCGATCACGGTATCTCGCCATGGACCGGACATCGAAGAAACAAATCCCAATTGATGGTATTCATGGAGACGTTTCCTGAATTTGACCGCACTCTCTCTATTCATCAAAGAGTTAACTTGACGCGTAGGCGGCTATGGTCTGATCTAGTGTAGAACTTCGAAACAACAGCGACATCCGTCATGCAGCACCTTTTGTTGACGATGATATGGTCAATCTCGTTATGCTGCTCTCCACTGGACGACTCCCAGGTCCAACGCCGTAAAGGCGGTTTTGGAACTGTGAGTTTCCATGGATAGTACCTCATCGTCGTGATAAATTAGGACAGTCTCTCCCTTTGTTCGTCCCACTGTAAACCACAGGTTCGATGTGAAGTTCCGCAGTCGACCTTCTGGCTCGGATATTCCCGTTGAAGTCATCGACGATGGTCTTGTGGAAGGTGTGACTCTGTAAAACTTCTCCAAGTTCATATAAAATACCTCGAGTTCGTTCTCTTCGTAACTGGATGTTGGGGCGTACGTGAAGACGGTCAAGTTGTGTTGATCCACATTTGATGTTCGCAGACGTCCGCTTTGAGCTGTGAGTTGTTCGAAAGAATCGATGCTCATGGCCAAGCTCGTATTGACAAGAGTTCCCGTTCCACCTACTCCTCGACTGTCGCATGCCAGAAACAGTCCTTCTCCAGTCTCAAATGTGGCGTTCAGAGGGTGGTGCCTCCTTGTCTCGGTCAGTCCGATGACGTCGTACTTGATCTTTTTTGCTTCCATCATAAGGTCTGCGTCCGATGCCAGCGTGCTTGCGTTGGTACAGATCGCCATCATTGTCCGTATCGTTTTCGGCAGTCTAGATCTCCTCCTAAACTTAAACTCCCCATGGGCGCTGCCTTACCAGTGGCTCTTCCAAGATTAAAGGAGCTTCCCATATTTTAACTGTATCGAACAAGAATTTACCCGAAGGGATAGTATGTTAAACCTAAAACCCTTGCGAGGGACGATCAAAGCTCATTTGTTGGATGCGACTTCGAATTCACCTCCCTCCTATACCTACCCGAGAAATGAATGCAAGCTTTTAGTGAAGGCAGGAAGTCCGTCCCCCGGCTGCGCTTTGCTTATCAGAGCAAGCGCGGGGTCGTTTTTGGTCGGGGATTATCTTCCCTATCCGCCAACTGGGAACGCCCCAGCCTCGCTATTAACCGGCTGTGATTTGCTTTATGAGGGAGCCCGGGGGATAAAGGACGGAGTATGATCTTCTCATTGCTAGAAAGTTTACTGTGTAAAACTTGTGTGTTTAAATCAGAGGGCACCTGCTTAACTGCATGCTACAATCCTTAGGAAAATGCTTGTTGGGGTAAATCAATTTGTAGCAGAATACATATGTCACCAGATGGACTCCTATCTGCTCTATCTTGTTTTGCTTTTATTAGTATTAGGTTGTGCCGAAAATTCGTTCGCACCATTTTCAAAAATTCATAACTCTTTAAATCCTCAACGAATTTGTACGGTCGAAATTTTGCTTAAGAGAGAAACTCATGCTCTTCGCATCTATGCCTGAACTGTTCGTTAATGTGTACAAGTGAAGGAGATAGAAGCTCAAAACCAAAATCACTCAAAATTTGAATTTTTCGTGTAGGGTCATAAAAAATCGGAAACTTGCAGCAAAAATCGGAGCAGTTGGTATTGTAGGTTCTTTCACCAGCTCTTTCTAACAGTGCAAAGTTTGCGCTGATTGAACGTCCCTATGAAAAGTTATGATTTTCGAGCAATCAATAGAAAAGGGCGAATTTGATTTATTTTGGCATTTTTCAGGAAAATCATAACTTTTCGTAGAGACGTTCAATCAGCGCAAACTTTGCACTGTTAGAAAGAGCTAATGAAAGAACTTACAATACCGACTGCTCTGATTTTTGCTGCAAGTTTCCGATTTTTTATGACCCTACACGAAAAATTCAAATTTTGAGTGATTTTGGTTTTGAGCTTCTATCTCCTTCACTTGTATACATTAACGAACAGTTCAGGCATAGATGCGAAGAGCATGAGTTCTTCTCTTAAGCAAAATTTTGATCGTACAAATCCGTTGAGATTAGTTAAAGAGTTATGAAATTTTGAAAATGATGCGAACGAATTTTCGGCACAACTTAATATAAACCACTACAGAATTGCACATAAGGGGGTCCGAAAATAAGGTGCACACTGTCGTTAATAACCTTTTTGCTTTGACATCTCTCGTTAGAGTTTGAGTACCATTCTGTAAAGCTAGCTTCAACATAGTTCCAGTATAAAGCGATTCCCGATTTTCTTTTTATTTCTGTGGCATCCGATGGGAACATCGGCAAAGTTTTTGGCTTTTCTAAATCAGCCCATGTAAACATAAAAGGCGTTTTTCAACATTTGACGACACCTGAGAAGCTGTGTAGTAAAATCAGCACGCGTGAAAACCCTACAGTTACACCCTACAGTACACAGTATTGCAGATTTTTTCAAGTACACAGTATTGCGGTTTTTTTGAAAAAAAAAAATGTCAGACGGGCCATTCCACAACAGCTCTATATGTTGGAAGTTCTTAATGTTGGAAGTTCTTAATTGGATCTTACACCAAAAAGAGAGATAGGTGATCGCTCCATACTGTAGACCTAAGCTGAAGCCGGCACCACAGAACGGTACCCAAAGGTTGGCGTAGGCCATCAAAGCAAAAGGATTACTAACGATCAAATAGTGTGTACTTTATTTTGAAACACCTTATAGAATTTAACTTTTCAAAGTGGCAACTCCAAAATTCTTCATGAGTTGCCAGCAGGCTTCAACTTTTCATATAATCAATGTTTTTGATGCAGATTGAAAGCACCTATAAGGAAATTTAAGCTCAATTCAGTCAGTGATGGGTATCTCGATAATACTTGCTTTCTTTATATTAAGAACAACCTGGAAAGTTGTCTACACTTTGACTTGGAAGGATCCCATGCACGTTAGTTCTTTGCCATATTTCTCCAAAGTTATGCAAGAATATTCCAAATATTCTTAACTCTCTTTATAATTAAGTGACTTTTTCGAATAGGAAAAATGATGATGATGTGTGTGCAGACATTTCCTTTGAGGGAACGACTTCCATCTTTTTTTTCAGGAGCACGACGGCTTCGGCAATGCAATGAGCATCTCGGTCCCGGTAAGCTTGTGTCTCTTTCACACTCGTTTATTGTTTACCAAAATTACAGCCTGAGGTGTTTCATTCAGAATAAGTCGAATGCCTCACAGACAGTATATATCTTGTAAAATCCGAGTTGATGAGTTTGTATTTCAGCTGGAATCTGCACAAGATGGATACATACATAGAGTGCTCATAGGGAATAATGGCCAGGAATTCAAAGTGATGGTTACCACGAGCAGCACGTTGTTATGGGTACCGAAAGTTGGTTGTAAGTGAGTGCTTCACGTTGAATAAAAGTGAGCGTAAACCATATAAAAAATCATTTCTGTCATACGGTCGCTTTGGATTTTTAAAGGCAGACTTTGTCCTGATAACGAGAAGCGTTTTTTCAAAGGGATGATATCTCAGTTGTTGTCGACGGCAACCCTTAAAGATTTTCAGCAGTGCAATGCAATTTCAGAGGTTCTGGTAGCAGAAGGACGTATAATCCCTCTCCATCGTTTGAGGAGGACGGCAGAAATTGGACACAGAAAAGTTACGGTGGAACCACAAATGGTGAGCTAGGAATCGATGATGTCAAGGTATGCAATTTGTAAGACAACAACCATCTAAACCAATTACTCGATCGTTAATTCCTTTCCTCACAATGGCGGAAAAATAGATAAAATTGCTGACGATAATGAGCACTTTCCTACGATGAGATAATCATTTCATCTATGATCGCCATGTCCGCTTACTTCTCGTACTCCTCCCCCTGCGACTACAAGTCCCATAGCTCAGAGTTTGCAAACAATCCATAAAATCGATATGGATCGAGATGAAAGGTAACCGCACCTTCAAGCAGTGTATGTTGATGGAGAGGAGTTCGGATGGGTTCAGGAACGAATCTTTCATTCGGAAGAAACACAGACATACATACATACATACCAGTGGCGTACCCAGGATTTCGGGGGGGGGGGAGCGACAAAAATTTTTTTCTAATGAAGGTGCGTGGCGTTAGCCACGCATTCTGAAAAATTTTTTGGAGTGCTTCTCGAAATTTTTGCGGGTCCCCAACCCCTAAAATCTGGAAAACTGGGGCGTTGCGTTAGCCACGCCCCCCAAAAAATTTTTTCACAAGGCTAATTTGTATTTTTAAAAATTTGTAAAATTTATTTTAATTATTTACAAGTAAAGACAAATCCTTTGCACATTTTTATAACACATTTAAGTAACTTTCACTTTCTCAAATTTCGCGACCCATTTTCGGGAGGGGGGCCCCCTGCTTCCCCCCCCCCATCGGTACGCCACTGATACATACATACATACATACATACATACATACATACATACATACATACATACATACATACATACATACATACATACATACATACATACATACATACATACATACATACATACATACATACATACATACATACATACATACATACATACATACATACATACATACATACATACATACATACATACATACATACATACATACATACATACATACATACATACATACATACATACATACATACATACATACATACATACATACATACATACATACATACATACATACATACATACATACATACATACATACATACATACATACATACATACATACATACATACATACATACATACATACATACATACATACATACATACATACATACATACATACATACATACATACATACATACATACATACATACATACATACATACATACATACATACATACATACATACATACATACATACATACATACATACATACATACATACATACATACATACGGAATAGACACAGCTTATATGCAAAATTTAGAGCAAAATAATTATCGTTCATTATTACCGATGAATCATGCCTAGAAACTACGAAGGAAGTTTCGAGCCCTCGAGGTGTATATTTCGCAGCACAAAGGAAACCAAACAAACTCCAAAAAATTAGCATTAGAGTAAACCGACTCGCTGACTTCAAATGTGGAACTCGCACTTTTCCATCCTTATCGAAATATGCAAGATAAACTGTACGACCTGAAAAGCAAATTAAAAAGTAATTGAAGATCTCAAAATCTCGTAAAGAGTTCTGCAGTACACCGCAGAAATTTAATTTTTTTGGAAAATATTTCAAATACGTTCAGTTTGCTCTAAAGTTTTGACCATAATTCTCACAGTAATTAAGAGCAGCATTGCTATGCACTGTAAACCTAAGTTGAAGTCAGCTTTACCGAATGTAGGTAAGAAGGTTGTAGGTTCCATAACAAAAGTTACGACTTTTTAGCGAACAAAGCGAAACGGTCAGACCATTTTCTTGATACTTTGAAACATGATTTTTCTTAGAAATACTTGATCACCACAGGCTTAACTTGGCCAAAGAGAGTAATTCATAAAACTAGTGTCAGTAAACTCAGTTTTTATTGCTCTTTTCAGAATTTCAAACATTGCTCACAATTTTAAACTCGATAATTTTTCTGCCAATCTTCGCAATTGCGGTTATTGTCGATTACTCGAAAATTCCTACATAATTTCATCTTCGCAATAAATCTAATGATAAACAGAACCCATGCAAACTAGAAGAAGTTACTAGTTGTTGCAAAAATAATGTCCGTTTTGCAAAGTTTTACTTTGAAAGGCTATAACCTTGTTCAGTCTTTATATTTTGAATGTAATCAAAACCATATAAGGCAGTAAACCTTTCTTAATCTGACGCGCACCTGCATTTACTAATATCACAAACGGGAAGAAGACCATGCGTCAAAAAACCGGAAATTATTCTTTTGAAAACCTCGTTTTGACAGATTACAACTCCCTTCAAGTTTTGTTCCTTTGGATGCTAATCAGCTTATTTTGTAGACGCAAGCCAGTAGTATACGTCTGTTTAGAAAAGACTTCAACAAAGGAGTCCTGCAAAAAGAAAAGATAGAAATTTAAAATTGTTCACTTTTTCGAGCCTATTTGTGGTAGGCCAGAAAGTCCCATACTATGGAAATTTGAGATTCTTCATACACTGAATGGCTAAACTTTTCTGCAAGTATTGCAGGAAATAAAATTTTGAAATTTCTACTCAAACATGCTATAGGTAAACAATATTCAACCAATACAATAGCTATGTTTTCAAGAAAACCCGTTAATTCGCGGTTGAATTGTCAAGGGAGTCAAAGCAAAGAATTTTCGATTTTGAGTGCAGCAGTGTGAGATGCTGGTGAAATTCTCACAGATGAGGTAGAAGCTTAATTTCACAATAAGTAGAAAGTACATGAAGAAAGCTTTCCAACGATATGCAGAATCCGTAACGAAAAAGGAATTTTGAAGGGAAAAAGTTGTTCGGGAAATAGGCCTAGAAAAACGGACATTATTTTTGCAACAACCAGTACAATGCTTAAAAGATGCGGAAGAACTATCGGTCTAGAGGCACCGCTCCAGAAAAAAAGATTCCGAGAATGACTAGCTGGGACCCCTAAACAGAAATTGCATAACTCCCACTGCAAAAGATTAATTTCGAAGCGAGAAAATTGCTCCAGAATGTAAAAGCGCCTCAGGTGACTCCGCTCATCAGCGTGGATGCTATGATTCAGAACACCCATCTTCAGGGTAGATTTGTCGTTAATCTAATAAGCATAATGAGAAGCGGATTCATGGCAACTCTGTAATAAATCGACTTTAAATTATTCATTTTCAGACCACCACGTTGGTGAAGGGAACCACTTAGACCGTTTCTTCCTAAAGTGTTTTTCTCGCTTTCAAATTTAATTTTGCAGCGGAATTTGGACGACTGTTGATTACGGGCCTTGACAAACCAGGTCAAAATCACACTTCAACGTAGATGGAGGGTCAACCTGAGTACACTGAGTCGATCGGAAAGTACCCCAATTTCACGCATATAAGACGCACCTTTTTCGTTTTTCAAGAGTGCCGCTCAGCCGCCTCGTTGTGTTTCCGGAAGCGAGACTTATGTATGTCGCACGATACTCTCCGACAATATGCACTACTGTAAATAGCTTTTTGGTCGCAAAGTCCTTCGGCAGTCTGTACTGTTCGACTCAAGAAAAAAGTCCCCCGCGCCCTGTACGCGTGAAATTAGGGTAATCTTTTTTTGAACGAGCGTCACATCTTGCCGACCAGAAGACCCTGGGTACTCAATACATATCCTCTCTCCCTTCCAGATGATTATGATAAAGTCTCGCTGTAACCAACAGCTCTCAGTAAATTCATTAAAAAGCAGCTCATGGCTCAATGAAATAAAACCCGGTTTCAAATTTTTCATACAGAACGACCAGAACGACCTAATATAAAAGGGTAAAGGGTTCCACGTCTGTTGTACCTTTTGTGGACATGGATGGAACTATTTATTAGAAACATGTTGCGAACCCAAACAGACTTCTTTCACCGACTCGGATTACTTTAGTATCATCTTATCAAGATCCCTCGGAGGATACAGCGTTGTTGGCAGAAATGACGAGATCAAATCTTGGTCCGTGGTTTTAGCGACAGGAGTTTCTGCTGGCCTTCGCGAGCTAACCTCCTGTCGCGAGTTAACCGGCAGCTCATCGAAGGTAGCAGCTACCGGCACGTCAGAGAGCACGAAAAACAGTGTGCTGGTATTACGGCATTCACACAGTAGGTCTCAGCCAACAATACCGAAATTCCTAAATTTTAATTTCTACCAAAAACTTTCAGTTATATCACCAGTTGCGCTTCCCTTGCTCAAAATTATGTGTAGGTGAGCATCGTATCTTTTTCTCCATTATTCCGTTAACAACGATTTCGCATGCCATTTGTCTATGTCGATTGGCAGTTTTTCACATTCAAAGTCTGCTACCACGGTACCAGTGGCGGACCGAGGGGAGAAGGGGCGCGCCCATTCCCCTGAGAATGGGTAGCGCAATTTTCGTAATTTTACGTAGTTATAAAAATGTGCAAGTGACTTGTTTGTTTTTGTAAACAAGTAAAATAATTTTCAATTTTCTGAAAATTCAAATTAGCCTTACAAAAAATTTTTTTCGGGGGCGTGGCTGAGGCCACTTCCCCTTTTTAAAATTTTGGGGGTTATAGACCCGCAAAAATCTTGAGAAACATCCCAAGATTTTTTTCGGAGTGCGTGGTTAACGCCACACACTTTCATTTTGAAAAAAAAATTTTGCCGCCCTCCCCCGAGCCAAAATCCTGGGGCCGCTTCTGCACGGTACTGATTATACCCTCTTACGAGCGCCGTTTGCCTGTGCCTTCCTGGCTTTGTTCTTTGACCGCAAATTTGTGCAGACGTGGTCGGTTAAGTAATCGCCCGCGCTTGAGGCCGATGCATGCAGGTTCAAGAACGGCGATGTCCATGTTTTGCGGCGGACTAAATTCAAAATAATGGAGTTAGTGGCTACGGACCAAGATAACATGAAAGCCTATGACAAAGTATACGAACAGTCCGCAAGCTAAGGCCGGAGTTGGCAACTTTCCGCGATGTCGGCCAACTTGCCGGCATCTATGATACCACCAGGTAGGGTAGATTACCTCCGGCCCTGATATCACTAAGCCACACGTCTCCATTTATATCATTATTACTATATTATTACATTACGTTAACCGTATGAATTTGAATTCGCGCAAATAGGGTAATCTTTCTGACGTTTGAGGTGAAACGCAATTGGTGCGAAATTAACTGCAAGCGCGTGGAGTGCATGCGAACTAGCGGAAAAACTAGCGAACTGAAATGGAAATTTTATACTCTTCATTCTCTTCTTTCTATGTATTCTATTTTATCAGAAATATGTTCAACCGTTGATAAATTGCTCATTTAAATTACACTACCCGTGAGTTATTAGATCGGCGGTTTACTGAAACCAACATGCAATTTCGGAATGGCCACAAATATATCGACAGATACGAAACTGGTAAAACTCTACTTATCCATTGTTTTCCAAATTTCCATGTCGACTTCAGCCAGTAGACGGAGTGCTTGGACTTGCACCATTCGCTGACAGCTCTATCCCTGGTCAACCATTCATGGCTCAGATCAAAGGCAAGTGCCAGCAAATGAGATAGTAAGGAATATTGTTGAAATTGTTTCAAAAAGACAATGTGACAGTAAGAACTTTGCTCCATTTACATCTCTTTTTTTGAGATCTGCTGACCTCGCACATGTTCACCATTTACTTGAGCCAGCAATCCGGCTCAAATGCAGGTTCTGTCACTTACGGTTCAGTTAACAACGACAATTGTGTGAAGATGTCGACGAAGCAAGCCTTCGTGAGAGCATATTACTTCAAGGTAAAAGACATACTATGAAATATCTAAGCTTTGGTTATCACTAGCTTGTTGCAATTCGGTCCACTACGACGTATCAAATCGTGAGCCTGGAATCACTGTATTATGTTGATGCAAAAATAATGGCCATTTTGCGAATTCGTCTTTGACGGTCATAACTTCATTCAAACTTTGTTACTATGAACGATAAGAGGCCTTTTTAGCAGCGAGCCAATAGTACAAAATACAATGAAAGTGTTTGAAAAAAAATTCAAGAAAATGAGACAAATTAAATTCAAAAATGTCAGTTTTTCGATATTTTTTGGTATGCCACAAAGTCCCGATTGTAGAGTTTTCTAATTTTCTGCTTACCGAATAGCAGGATGTTTTTGCAAAAACTGCTGATAGGATGCTGTAGCAACACTTACAGAAATGAGTAAAGCTTTGGCGACTGACCTGAAATTTATGGGCCATGAAATGACGGCAACGGCTACCCATGTTGAGGCGCCGATATCTCAGTCTGGATAACTTCAAAATATACAGTAAAGTATGCATAATGTAGGTAATTTCTATTACATACGATGGCTAAATATTTAGGGAAGCGCCCTTTATACGCGCTCGAATTCTGGCAAAAAAAACAACGCAAAAAATTTCTGAATTTTAATGCGTTTATTTGAAGTAGTAACCTTGTAACAAAGGAGGCTGGATTGCCCAATTTAACTCATTAGATAGAGCATGAAAACAGCTTCTCAATAATGTGCTAGATATATTTTGAAGAAGAATTTTTATGGGAAAGAGTTGCCTTGGAAAAAAGGCTTGGAAAATTGGCCATCATTTTTGCATCAACCTAATACAGAAAGGCAAAAATAAAAACATGCAGTTCAAACTTATTATCGATACGTAATTCCACATTACCGCTGCAAGCTGTGATTGCTGTTTGCGCAGCTCAGCGATATTCTTGAAAACGGCCGTAAACTATGGATTAATGCAGCGCTCTAATGTTACACAAAAAACTCACCTTCGATTGCAAAAAACAATGCGTTTTCAATGTTTTTTTTTCAAGAACCGAACAACACTCTATTTACTAACTGAAATTTTACGAAAACAAGCAAAAGAGAGAAGAACGACTACTCAAGTAGATACCGCCTCCGCGGGCTACTGGTCCCAACACGATGTGAAGTGAGGCGAGACTAGCTGTCCGCGGAAACAGTGTCTAAGGGAGCCTCCAGACCGCGCCGGTTGTCGCTTCTGCAGCCAGTAGCTGCTTTTGCGCCAGTTGCCGCTATTGCAGCTAAAGCGCAACGTGTCGGATTTTGTCCTTGGAGCGTCGCGAGAGTCTATTGGCACTAAATACTAGGCTTTTCGATTCTTTTGCCACCACTTTTGTTTCCAAAGTCCTCTTCTTTCTGTAACTAGTGAACCAGTAATTGAATGCTAGATTGCATCCGCGCTTCGGGACCGCCGCGCGGTTTCCCGCTATTTGCAGATTTTTGAATTGCGCTTACGTTTTTTTTATATATTAGATTAAATCACTGCAGGTTCTACGATGCTGGAGTAATCGACTCATTTCCAATATTCAATCTACATCCCGCTATAGAGGTGTTTCTTTAGGCAAAAAAGTGATAAACGGCGTTTTGTCTATCATTCATCTCCAGATTCTTTTACGGTAGTTAATCGATTTTGTAGAAAACAAAGTTTCTTTGAATTTGTCTTCAGTTTTGAAGCTATGCTACGTCTATTAAGGAGTCATCGGGTTGCGGACTTTCCCTGAATGTAAGTGTAAAGTTGTTGCAACTTCATGCAGCATTGTTTTTCGTACTCTCTCGTTAACTTTATCATTGAAATCAGGGAAAGCCCGCAACCCGCCTCCACACAAATCTGGGAGCTCATAAACCTTCGCGGAACGCTGTTTTTCGTACAGGTTTCTTGATGATATTGCTCTGCTGTGTAGTTGCGCAGGCAAGGTTTTTCGATGGCTTTTTGATTTGAAGTTGGTCTACTATGCTGAGTGGACGATATCGTCACAAGATGTTTTTTGCACTTTCTAACTTTGAAGCTACTCTACTATACTGCTTGAAGGTACACTTACTGATCTAATTGTAAGTTTCCTTTAACTACTCAAGGTTAGCTATTTTACTATGATGAAGTAAACGGTATATACCTTGAATGGAGAAAGAGAAGGCACCGAATGACTCCGCTTTGGAATAGATCGTTATCAGCGTAGTGAAGTACCAAAACAAAAATAGTACAGAGAATTTGATTTCTGCAGCTAAATCGCTCCTACGGCATGATGGAACAGCTCCAAAAACGAAGAAAGTAGTACAATCGCAACTCGCTCATCCAGCATAGTAAACCAAATTCAAAAACGAGAAAGACGTCGAAAAGGCCCTGCCTTGCGATAGCTCTACAGCGGGATTTAGATTGAAAGGGTTTCACTCGATAATGAATCGATTTTTCCAGCATCGTAGACGACGAAAAACGGAATTCAGATCAGATGAACCATATCTGTAATGAATCACTACAGCAAGGGAGAGAACTTTGGAAACAAAAGAGTGATGACAAAGGAATCGAAAAGCCTAGCATCTAATGCTAATAGGCTCTCGCTACGCTCCAAGGACAAGTTCTGACACAGTGCGCTTCAGCCGCAATAGCGGCAACCGGCGCGAAAGCAGCTACCGGCTGCAAAAGCGACAACTGGCGCGGTAGCGGCGCCTGGAGGCTCCCTAATTAAAGTAATTGTTTCTTAACCTGAGCAAAGGCTTCTTCTTAATCTTTCGAAGAAAACATCTCGCTAACATTAAACCCAAAAAAGTTCACTCATTTTTTCAAAATACCTGTATCCGCTAATCCATATAATCACACTTTTTTGTTTTTGGGCCGTTCATCTCGCGGGTGAGAGAAACTAGCGAAATGTGGCTGACCAATCTTTTTCCACAATAATAATTTTCAAAATAATAATCTTCACTTATTATTATAGTCTCGTAAGGCTGGGCTAAGCAGGGTGGCGGTCAAGAATAACGATAGCTCTGCCAGCCGCTAGCTGCCAGCTGCTCGCGTGCGCAGAGCAGCCCGCCCTCACTTATTCATGAAAATGAGGATTGTTAAGATTTCAGTTTTCTTCATTGAAATTCGTTTCCTACAAGGACCAAAGAAGCTTACATATTTCACATAATAACTTGTGCCCAAAACATTTCTATCGCGTATTTATGGCGATGTGATTGCTGATTATTTTTATCTTAAAAAAATTTTAAAAAAAAGACTAAGCACTCAAAAACTTCTTGAAAGCTATTCGGACGAAGTGACGCCATTATCGGACTACGAAAAGCATAGGACAGGGCTTCGGCAGCAAGCAGTACAGTACATCTATTAAGAAAAAATGAATGAGAATGCTCTCTACGAAAATCTATCTTCGTTTAAAAACTACAAAAAGTTTTAGTGGAATTCTAAAGTGCACAGACAATTTCAAACGAATACCAAGCAGTTTTTACGAGAAGATGTTTTAGATGAGCTCAGTTTCGCTGGGGAATTTTACACATTCCTACAGGGATAATGCAGTGCCTGAATTAATTCCATTTATTATCGGCCCACAAGAAGTAATAGACGGCTTGGCCAAAGCTGCTGGAGCTACGGTGATGTTATTTTATTTTGACAAGGAGGTTTTTCAAAGTTCCTATATATAGCTCATAGACGGTTCCTATGAAATTCGCTGCAACGCTACCATACCGAAGCTGGAGATAAAAGCTGGAAGATATGGATATTCCATACGATCAAATAGGCTTATCGTGAAGGTAGGTATTTAGGTTATTGCTATTTTGCAAATTGGATGCGTCTTTTCGTTCTTTTGATCATAAATTCTACTATGTGAGACACAGGTGAGGGTGCATATATTCGTAATTTTGTTCCATCTATTTGTAAGCCAGTGATTGGTTTCGCTACAACTTTCTCGCAAAAATATAATATGGGTTTTTTTAAAATTTGTTTCAATTAACTGTGTCCAAACACTTACAGAAGGAAAGCAGATGTGTACTTGCATTAGCCTCTCAGACAGGCGGTGGATTTGGTTTACAATGGTACTTTGGCGCTCCGCTACTTCAAGAATACTGCATCACTTTCGATTTGAAGACAAGATATCTTGAATTCCGTGGCACAAAAAGTAGTCCCACAACCGGCAGCTCCACCCGCAGGTGAGTTTGTAATAAAGCTAGTGCTGCTGCAAGTCTGGTTTAGAATTACCTATCCCCTAAGAAAAACACCAGCTCTACATAGAAAACAACTTGCAAGGGGTTTTAAATCATGACAGTTTTTCTACTTGGGTCAAAAGAAGTTTTTAGAAACGATTTTTATGAAATACCCTTGCCTCTGTTATAAAAAAAGTGCTCCGGTTGTTTCACGATAGAAAAAAGTACTGCTTTTAAAAAGAATTTGCAGATTACCGACTACTACACCGAAAAACATAACTAGTTCTTCAACAAAAACTACACGCAGGTGGGCTTCGCATTTCGGAAGTAACCATGCTTTAGTTAATAAATATTGTCAAGAGTACTCTCTACCACACCAAAAAGAAATACCACTATCTCCTCAACAAGAACAACTCGCAAGTAAGTTTCTAACAAAGTCGTAGGGCCTGGTAATTACTGCTGGTAAGAAAGCCATTCCAGAATCCCGACTACTACAACGAAGAAGACCACCACCTCTACACGGAAAACAACTCGCAGGTAGTTCTTATAAAGTAGAGCTCGTTATTTACTGCTAACAAACTCATTCCAGAATAACAACTACTACACCAAAAAGAAACATTACTACTTCGTCAACGAGAACAACTCGCCGGTGATTTCTACAAAGTAGGGCTTGTGAATACTATTATCTTGACAAAGCCATTTCAGAATCCCAACTACTACACCAAGAAAAATCAGCACCTCCTCTACGAAAACGACTCGCAGGTATCTTGCACCACGGTAAAATTAGCTACATCTGTAGAATCCAAAAACATTTCAGAATAGTATCTACTACATCAAAAACAAACGCAACCACCTCTAGACCAACAACAACTCGTAGGTGGGTTTGCACCACGTTATAGCTGGTTATATTAAGGTTCAATTCACAAACCTTTTCAGAGTACTTTCTACCACACCAAGAAGAAATCTTACCACTACCCGGAGGTGAGGGTTATCAGTAGAGCTAGAATCTGTACGAATATGTCTCGAGCTTAGAGTTTAACACTTTATTTCAACAGTGATAGAGTATACTCGATTGACGGAATTGTTTGAACTAGAAAATTTTACAGGTTTACATCGACACCACTACAAACTACAACGAAGCTTGCACCCACCGCTTACCTTTACCGTCTTGTTAGTTTCATGGTGTTTTCAGTATTTTGCATGTGGTAAAAATGGAAAGGCGATTTCTACCTTTTTCTTTTAATCATTTATTCTATCTACAAAAATTCTCGATTAACTCATGTAAGAATATTTGCATTGTTTATTCACATCCCATTATGCATGTTGATAAATGAGAAGAATTGGGACAAATTTGTTGACATTTCAAATCCACATAGAGTTTTTTTATCCCACTACAGCGCGATGATCCGCGTATTCATTATACTTGGAAATACACCAATCAATGTAATTGCCTTTTGTTGAAAACCCGAAAATTTTATTATTTTATGTGTACGCCAATGCCGCAACATTTTGTCGATTTGGACCAGAAAAACGGGGTTTTAGAAACCTGTGTTTAAGGCAGTTATACATATAATTCACTTCTTTAGTTTTTGTTCAATGAATTTCGATCCTCCTTTTGGCGCAGCTAGATGTGCAAAGTACATACGACATCTTTCCAACATTTAGCAGCGTGGCTCTCTACCATGAAAAATAAATCCGCTTTGATGCAGTTGATTTACTATGAGGCATTTCAGGGTTTGAACTTTGTTAAGCCAATCCATGCTCGCGTGAGGACAGCAAATATGAGTTAAGCCCGCTTCAAAAACGAATAGCTGCATATGCTTGAAAGAGTTTTTCAACTTATTCGTGAAAGGCATTCTCTCAAGAGGTACACAGCTAAAAACGCAGGTTGTCGACAACGTGTTAAGACAGGCTACTGCACGACTGACATGCCTAATCGTGTCTTGCAAAAAGCGCACGCGGTGAAAGCAAGACTAAATGAACACTTGTTACAGCGTAGATACGAGCATATCACACCAAATTTGGACCGTATCCATAGAATTTCGGAAAAAAACTTATGGTGAGGAAGCCCGTCTCCTTCAAAAACATTTATATTCGCCTACTAACGACTAGAGCAGTACATATCCTTGCAAATGGTGCCAGAAATCGAAAAACAAAAAGTGCTTACGAAATGCACGTTCGTTTTGAGAAATCGAGAGAGCACTTATGTGACACAATTAAAAGAGGAACAAGAGTCATTCAGTTTTAGTTAGGTTCCAATGTGTGATGAATATAGTAGCACAGAGCTGTCACTCGAAACGATATCTTCGAATACCGTTTGCGAGTCAAATTACCAAATGTTTGTCCAGCTTTTTCTCTCAACCTCAATTTTGGGTAACTTAACCTTTACTACTTAAACTGCGGTAATAGATGCAAACGACGGGACAGATTAAGATAAACGAATCCAACAAGGTTACAATACAAAGTATTTCGCATGATTGTTGCCTCATACATTCATACATATACTTAACAACTATAGTATTGCATTCCTCTGGCAGGCGCTATATTCTTCGAGGAGTATAGCATGGCGACTGACGATCGCCAATATCGGCGACAAAAAATCGCCGGTTTTCCCCCATTTGATGCATGTAGATCGCCGCCATGCTATACTCCTCGACGAGGAGTATAGCGCCCGCCTTTCATTTACTATATTCATGAAACTTAAAGCTCACAACATGAACCAGATCATAAAGGTTGGGCTCTTGTTAATTATTAACCTGCAATGTGATTAAAACATACATGATTAATGTCCAATAAAAATTAGGTTGAAGATTAAAGAGCAACCTAACCAAAGAAAGCACAACTGAGTTGACTCTTTCCTTCAGTAATACTTAAGCTCCACAATTCAAAGAACATGAATATCAACTATTTTTCTTTATCTCATCTCTGTAGCTTTTGACACAAGTCATTCATGCGTGACATGTTTATCTAGTGTGCAACATTGCAGCTTCGATTTTTTTGTGCACTTCTGGATGATAAAGAAACTCTCAAGTACGACAGTATTACATTTTATATCTTACATATTTGGAGTTTCGATCTTGCATCAAAAAATTTGAAAAGCTAACCTTAATTCATGCAAAGGGTGTCTCAAACCATGATGCACCGTTTGATGGTTGCTGACGCGCTCTCTTCCTATTTCTTGTTCCCTTGTCCCTTCTAGTACAGGAATTAACGAATCAAAAAAGAACATGAAAGTTTTACAGAACCGTCTCACTCGAAAATTATTTTGGCATATCCCGCATATACGAGTTGATGAAAATCTTTTCTAAAATTTCAGCGTTTTCCAAATGTGTCTGAAGATCGCAACTCGGATTCTTGTAGCCACTTACAAGCTAAAAATATCCGTGCTGGTCTGATTCTCAAACCTAAATTTCATTATTCTACGGAATCTAAAACAATCTTGACTAATTGAATTTTGAATAATTATAGCACATCACTTCAGATTTTTAAATCGGTCTCAAAGTTCTTCCTTTTTCTGCCTATCATGAAAACTAATGCAGATAAGTGAAGCACTGAATACTATCCGGTGCCCTTTTCTTCTTCTCAGCAATCAGAATTCCAAATTGCTTTGCGCTCACTATAATTTTAACATCCAATTTCAACAATATTTTATTTTCGTCTTAGACCTCTAAATGAGGTTGTGTAACACTGAGAAGGTCAACAAAACAATTTTTCAAAATTCTTTTTGAAGCAACTTTTCCTGTCTTTATTTCTGCAATACACAAGGATCAAACACCATTTTCAAATTTTGTAACTTTTGAAAATTGGATTAGATTTCGAGGCTAGTTGAATAAAGCAGCCGAGCAATTGGAATAAAGAAAACTCTCAAAAAGGGGAGAAAAAAGTGCATCGAATACATCTGGGTAGCTGATCGGTTGATGTCTGTGAGATTTGGGCTAGACTATGGATTGTAGCATCACAGGAATTTGTGGGCATTGCATTGTACTTTACTATCTCTATCCATCTGTTATCAAAGCGAGCAATCATTTCACAAACATGTTTGTTGGAAAGAGAGAGGCCTCGAGTAATGATGAAACGTTTTACCTATCTTTATCAAATGAGTATTATAGATAGTTTATAGAATAAAACTGCTCAAAACGTTTACTTACTTTTATACTATGCGTTCTATCTCATGATTATATTAGGTTGGCAGATAATTTCTGTTAAACTTTTTTTTGGAAAATTTTGAAAAGTTGCAGAAGTTATCTAAAATCTTCAAAGTTGCTTCACATGTAGGCCACGGCAGAGCGTACACGACATTATGATTGGCCGCAAATGCACAATTAGCCAGCAACTTTAGGACAATTTTATAAGCCCACTCAAAACTGTCATTTTTTGGTTTTTTCTCTGCGTCTAATTGTGTTTTTTCTCTCCGCTTTTTTTAGAACATATTTTCGCATCGTCTCTTTTATGGTAGCACCTTGGTGCCGCTAGCACGCCGAAAACAAGAAGTGAAAAACAACTCAAAAAATCAAAAATCCGTCGAAAAAAATTTTTTGTGTGCATCGTGTAGGACTTGAAACGGAAAGGTTAGAAATAATTTTTGTAAATTTTTAAAAATTGTTCACCTCAAAGTGCCGATGTGCGCTGACATTTCGCAACATGTAGCTCATGTGATCGTGTGCGGACATGATTGTGCCATCCCCCTATGTTCGCTAAAAACGAAGGACCATACCCTGCCCGAATACCACATCGCCCGGTCTCTTCCCAATCACCTGAAAGAATACCAGCCCACTGACAAAAATGTCCATAAAATACTACTACCGATAAAGTGGTGTTATGAGCATGGACCGCGGTTCTGACAGTACCGGCGGGTAGATCTTTGAACCCTGCCAACATTCCTTAAACAAAACAATTTTCGAAAGTTTCTTAGATTTTAAGAATTAAAAAAGTGTAACAGAAATCATCCGTCAACCCAATATAATAGGATGGTAGGTCCAAAAAAGCGAAAGAATTCTCAAGTCGACTTCATATCTGTGGAAGGGCTGTGGCAGATGGGTTGAAGTTAAGATCTAACTAGCTGGCTTACCCGCTCCGCCCGGCTTTGTCAAAAAAACGATAAAGGTCCCTTTTCTATCCTTGTACAACCTTTCCCTGTGCACACTTCTACATGCAATTCCCTATTCCCGCTGTGTTAGTAATCAGCATGCTCACCTACCTCCCTCAACAACCCCCAGCCCCGTAGCTCTGCAAAAAATCGCACTTTGCAAAAAATCAATAAAGTCGATAAAAGTAAGGGTAATTTTAAAAACTGATGGCGCTATTCGGCTATCCGGGCCCCAAAATGTTTTTGTGTCGAATCTTGCTCAAACTCGGTATATGGGGGTTACTCAAGCCGCTGATGACTAATATGGTAGTCATTTCGCGTGGCAGCGGGTAAAAATCATAGACCTGCCTGAAACTTTGACAGTGAATTACCTAAAGTGCTCTTTCAAGAATATCGTGCTCAATTCCCACAATAAAGGCAATTCGATGGTATAAAAGTTCCCCACGACCGTAATGCTTTCCTTATAGGATCTCTTCCGCGAGCGATACACCCTTCGGCGGCTTTTGCCTAAGCAAAAACAGGGGAGGGAGATTTGCCGCTTGCGTTGGGACAGGTTATCAGGATGGCGCTGGAGACCGCCATGCAAAACGACCGTTTCCCCATTTCGTAAATATCTGAGATCTAAATTGGCCCGAAAGCGGAAAAATGTCCATTCAAACCCTGCAATTCACCATAACTTCACATCAATGCGTTATGACGGCGAGCAAGCATCATATTTATAAGCAGTATGCTTGTGCATCGTTGAAGGTAAGGTTTTGAGCAAATCTGGAACTTCGATCCATCTGTACACCCACCGTAACCCAAGGAAATGCGCTACCCTGCGAAATCAGCATGGTATTCATGTTCAGCGCGCTAAATGACTACCCTAGAAGTTTAAAGCAAATCTATGTTTTCGATCCCATACCGTATGACCACCATAACACCTATGAAAAGGAATCGGAAAGTTCGACTTTCTATAAATCTGGGCATGATAAGCTGTGTTTATTCGATTGTTTAGCCACGACCGAGATTGGTAAATTTTTATTTAGGCTAACGTTTCGGCAATAATTCGCCTACTTCAGAGCCTGAAATGGGCGAAAACAATTTACAGGCCACCCGATAAAACATCTCCTCAACCCCACAGGCAAAATTCTAAGCTTTCTTTCGACCACGAGCAGGCTGCCACACGCAGTACTCACCTTTCGTTCGCCGGTAAAGTTCTGGTATAGTAAGAGCGAGTGCTTACTGACCGCTTAAGCAAGGAATTAAATGTCTTCACTTGTTCAATTGTGTGAAGACATGTTTAATTCCTTGCTCAAGCGGTCAGTAAGCACTCGCTCTTACTATACCAGAACTTTACCGGCGAATGAAAGGTGAGTACTGCGTGTGGCAGCCTACTCGTGGTCGAAAGAAAGCTTAGAATGCTTGTGAGGTTGAGGAGATGTTTGATCGGGTAGCCTGTAAATTGTTTTCGCCCATTTCAGGCTCTGAAGAAGGCCTGCCGAAACGTTAGCCTAAATGAAAATTTACCAACCTCGGTCGGGGCTAAACAATCGAATAAACACTATGAAAAGGTCCCAATATGCAGAGAGAGTATGAAATCGTAATCAGCATGTCAAATAAGTCCTATGGACCGAACTCCAGCCGAATTCATGATTTTGACTTCCTACCGTACACCTATCGTAACCACACGGGGAGATGTTCTGCAAAGTGTGATATCTGTAACCAGCATGTAAGATAACCCTTACACCCGAAGTCTGAGCAAGCTTTACGACAAAAAAATTTTGGGGTAGCCAAAATTTTCGTAGGGTTTCGGATAGCCGAATAGCGCCAAACATATTGTCTCGTATGCCAACTCCCAGCCCCATAGCTCAAACTTTGCAAAAAAAACGATAAAATCGATGAAAGTAACGGATAATTTCAAAGACTAATATTGTATTCGTAATCAGCATGCTCGAATACTTCCCTGTGCCAACTCCCAGCCCGTAGGTGAGCTCTGCAAAAAAATCGACAAAATCGATATCGATCGATGACGAAAAGTAGCCTATGACACCCGCCCGGCCCCGAAGTGTATGTGTGCCAAGTTTGGTCCGGATCGATTCAGAAATGGAATTTTCTATCCGGAACATACGTACAGAGAGACATACAGACATACAGACAGACATTCAGCTTTTATATAAGATTATGTATATATTTTCTCACAAGACATTCGAAACGACTTAAAATTCAGTAGTTGCCATTTTTAAGCGTAGTACATCCCCTTTGCTCACAGACATTTTGTGATAAACTCGTAAAGAGATTGCATTTGTAGCCTCAAGGTCAGTAGTTGAAGTGTAAGTGTGTACAATCAATAATATGCGACTTATTAGAAATGACTCGTGAAGACAAAAAATTCGATGAGCATTGGGGGAGTATGATATTACGATCTTTTTTTCTTTTGATAAAGCGTATAATGCTGTTTTTCTGCTATGCTGTTGCTATGCTGTTATGCTGTTATGTTTTTAAAAAAGTATCAAATATCAAGTCTCATATTGTGATCAACACAGTGACTCAGGCAACTCCTTTTCGTCAAAATACATGTCTTTCTTCCCAGGCATTGGTGTTCTCAAACAATAAAATACAGGCAGCCATGCACACTTCAGCCCTTCTTACTTGTTTCATCACGGCATTGCAGATAAGGGTCTGTTAAAATTTTTTTGGTTTCTTTTTCCAACAATATGAAATAACGCTTGGATGCATCAATAAAAGCCGACTGCCTTTATAAAGCTTTCTACGTTAAAGAAGATTTCAGGAAGTCACATTGGCAGGATTCAGAGAGCACAATAGCACAGTCGAAAATGCACGGAGTGCTTATGTTGCAGTGAGTCTTGTTGAATCACATTTTACCCAAACGGATAAAAAGAACTTCTTGCTTTGACACAGCTATATGCCGAACGAAATGGATACTCTCACCGAGTCTTCATTGGAAGCAGAAAAAGCAGTTCACTGCCCTTGTTTCACTTCGCAGCTCCATGCTGTGGATTCCAAGTTCTGACTGTAGGTGTGCTCTACCACAAGCTTTTTATCCTTCATTTATTTGCTAAAAACTACATAGTTTCTTTTGAAAACTTCTAGCCATTCTAAAAGTAAACATCTACTTGTAAGTAATTGTGGTTTTCTTAAAAACTGAAAATTCCAGTCAGTTTGTAACGGCGCCACCGTCCCGGTCCCTTCCCATAACTTTATGGTCATAGGCCTGCGAAAATTTTCAAAGCACAAAATTTCTTAAAGAAGTTTGATGTTAAAAAACTTTTGTCGCCCCCCTTCCCGTCGTCACCGCTCTAAAGGTATTCGAAACATCCAAAGAAATTTGACTATTTCTAAACTATTTTAGTTTCTAAAGTAGTGTTTGGCTAACAAGGGAATGGTTAGAAATCGCAGAGGCTAGTTCAAACAAGGTGTCATACCATTGTCTACTGCAACATGGAAGAACTCCTAATCTGACTTCTCTATCTGCTGAACGCCAGGGACATCGTAACCTATTAACGTATCTCGCAAAGAATTTCAATGTGGAAACCGCAAATTTGGACATATTTATTCATCTTTGGCTCATGGTGGGCAGAAACATGCAGCTCGGTTACTTATATAGATTTGAAATCAGCGCTACGTTCTGACTATTCCCTTGTGAAATTACATTTTGGGCTAATTTGTTTGCTTGCTCGAAAACTCTAACTACAAGCAAAGGGGCAAAGTAAAATTGTCTAACGTCAAGATTGTTAGCAACACTATGGCGTGCCATTTGGAGTAAGTGGCAACCTGCGTAAAACGGTGTCGAACATTCGCATCATTAGTCGAGATGCAAGCGAAGAATGCTTTACGCTGTCTCTTACTACCGCACTGATTGCAACTGACCGCATTGACCGCAACTGGCGGCGGCCGCACATGTTCACGCAAAAAAAAGGAGAGCGACTTCGGTTCTACTAAAATACCTTTAGTGACGCCTAGAAAGATATAAGTTTTATTTCACTTTTCCAGTCAAGTGACTTCTTTTGCGTAAACATGCCGCGGCCGTTGCAGCCGCTGCGTCAGCGCGGCCAGCTGCAGTCAGCTGCAATCAGCTACGGTCAGTTGCAGTCAATCTGTAGTATGCAACCCCTTGGCCCTGAGCATAGCTCAAGCGCTTTCGTCGCGACGCGATTTGCTAGGTTGGACAAGTGTTCCACGTTGCGCTGTCAAGTGTTGAGCCCGGCGCATTTCTGATGCCTTTTGGCGCGGCGAATCGCCACACACTTTCCAACGTGCATAGGTCACTTGGTGAAATTGTCGCGATTTTGCCGAATCGGCGCGATTTCAAATAGTCCATTTGCGGCGAGCGACGACGGAGCGATCGTCGCGACGATTTCAAACCGCATTCTTGAGTTTCGTCATAATTTCATTGTTGCTGACGATTACGACTGCCTTCTTCTTTCAGGTCACCTATAGAGAGCTGTAGAGAAGTCACTCTAGCGTTTATGTTTGTGAGTCACCGAATCACTAGTAGACGTGATATATTTCCATTCTAAAACAGCTCTCATTTGGCTCTGCCTTGAAAATAGTTTTCCTCGGGGTTCAGAATCTAAACCCATTGCTGCGTGCGGAAAGATCAAGCCTTGAAGTTCTCATTTTCATTCCAAGCTGATGATAAGCAATGATCGCGTACAAGATCATTCCTTAACCTTCACCTATACAGACTTGCAGAACAAGTTTTCCGGTCTTTTGCTCTCTCAAGAAACCATTTTTGTGCATCAAAACTACACAATACCACATCGTTCATTTTTTACAGTCAATTCGTTGACTTTAAAGAAGTAAAAAATGCAAACTTCACAAAACCTCAAAACTCAGAAACAAATTCACTTATAAACTTTGTCACTTTTCACGATTTCCGCTACACAAGCATATCTAAGGAAATTGTGTCACACGATATTATTAGCTTGATGTAAAAATAATGGGCGTTTTGCGATTTCACTTTGACGTGCTATAACTTTTTAAGAAACCCAGATTTCTGGATGCGGTGAAAACCATCAGAAGCAACAAATCTTTTGCAAGCGCACGCTCATTTACTCACACCGTAAACGGGAAGAAATACGGACTAAAAGGCAAAAAGGTTTTTTTTTCTAAGACCTTATTTTTGACAATTCATAACTTCCGTCAAAAATTATTATTATAAATGGTAGGTAGCCTATCTTGTAGCCGTAAGCCAGTAGTACAAAACACGATGAAAAGGGTTTGGAAAAAAATTTGCAAAAAGGAAAAAAATCAAAAATCAATTTGTCAGTTTTTTAACATTTTTACAGTACCTACAGCTTCGCAGTGGTATGCTATATGTACTTCAGAGAAGATATTCTGATGAAAAAAGTTACCCTGACGAAAGGCTTGGAAAATCGGCCATTATTTCTTAGGATGAGCGAGGAGCGACTCAGTCGCAGCTTCCAGTCGCCTATTCGGGAGCGTTGTGGCAATCAAAAATCGCGACGACTTCGTCGCTCGAGGTATGCCCAGGGCCTTAGAGGATTTTTCTAAGAAAAATTGGAAAGTACTCAAAGGCTAAGTCCAAGCTAGAAAGAGCGAAAGTTTCAATACTGACCAGCAATTCGAAAGCTTCAGCTGAAGAAGATGTCAGCATATCTAGTTTGGAATTCACATCGACAGAGAATTGGACTACACTGCCAACAACACTGGCCAACAATTTGGAAACTGACAACACATTTTGACCAGTTTTTTTTTGTAGAGAACCAAGAAGAGTAACTTTGAAAGCATTCGTTATTTGGTGTGCATGAAAGTCAGAAAGGTTAAAAAACAGCCACAGGAAGATTCGTATGCATTGACAACATCCAAAAAGACCGAAAGTGAAAAAGTGTCGAAAGTACAGCCACTTCCACACTAAACCGAGCTATTCAAAAGCTTGAGTTTTCTTATAGTTCAGCCAAGTATGACAGCCCTTGGTTAAAGCTAATGCCCCAGTCCGTAGTCAAGCAAGGAAAAAACATACGTGTCCTAAAACATGAAATTGAAAAAAAGTAAAAAGGAATGATTATAACGCTTTAGCTAAACTACCTTGCTCCGGCACAGTCAGGCGGATAAAGCTACGCATGAGACACTTGAAGTTCTTGGCCGTTTTCATAATTTTAAGCGGACTTGCATTCAGCAGAAAAGACGAAGTTTGGCAGAAAATTAACCTCAACACCTTGCTCCATAGGTGACGTTGTTCATTTTCTTATTTGAGCGTAGGACGACATTTCAAGAAGATCAAGCGGCGAATTATGGAAAACAATCTCATAAAGCCGATAATTTGCCATAGTCCGGAAATCAAATTAGCTTCTAACCCGAAAAGCTTTTTGCGTACTTCTTACTATTTGACCAAGGCGAATGATCCAAACAACAAGTTTGATACTAGCCAAAAATCAACATGGGTCCTTTTCGGGCTCCAACACGTGATGAACGTACAAAATTGACTCTTCGACGTTCCATCGTTTCCTTAGCGCTATTATGCAAATGTGAAGTGACAGTTTCTAATTATACAACAGTAGCAGAGATTAAAGCTTTTCACCAAGTAGCCCATGAACTGCCAGTTGACATAAACGACATTTGATCATTACTCGTTCTCTATGCTGGAAATCAGCTGATCCGGCAAAGTGTATAAGCAAAGATGAGCGTTCAACGAGTGGTGGACACATTGCAAGAGGGTTAGCGGCAGATGGACTGTGAAAGCAGTGTTTGACAAATCTTCATTATGACAAAACCAAATGTAGTAGCTTCATTGCGAGAGTAAACGAGCGTTGGCTAGACCTAGAGAAGTAGAAGTACGTAATAGTGTTGCTAGTGGTTGTGGTGCATTGCGTCGCTATCCTGTAAGCTTTACACTCTGAGATAAATGGTTGATCTTCCGCCGTGCGGAAACGAGGCTAGCGAACCGAATCAAAAGTCTTATTATTAGTTAGGAGGCCTTGAAAGTTGAGAATCGATAAAAGATTTATTTACAAAGAACGTGAAGCATAAAAAGTGATTCCAAATCTGTTTTATCCTCGGAGCGTTTACAGACAGCGTATCACTAGCAGATCGAATGCGCAATTAGGATAAAATTACTGATACTTGCTCTAGCGCTTGGATGGAGCAGAAATAACTGTCAGGGGGGTACTCACTGCAGCAAACACACTTAGCTCATACGTACCTCACCTTCCCCTGTTTCGAACTAAGCTGGGAAAGTTCAACGACTGATTATGTATTAGTTGCTCCTACATTTGTACCTACAAGCCCTCGCTCAAAAACGCTCCGCAGATAAGGAATGCAATATGTTACTAGTGCCCCAATACCAGCACAATGATATGCATCACGCGTGGGAACCCCACTTCGACAACGGTTCTTCCCTTGTCAAAAGGCCGAGATTTCTAATTATCCTTCCCTTGTTGGTAATCCTATCATTAGCTTGTCCTCAATTTACAGCTTCGCCAACCTCCTGGTGTTGAGTGTTACAACTTCGCTGGGAAATTTTGGCTTAAAATAGCACTAAATTCATCAGTTAGACACCTGCCCTATATAAGATTTGTACGCTCAAGGCGTTCCATAAAAAAAGACACATCAAGAAGTTAGTAATGCAGCGGAAACGAACAAGACATGTAAACAAATGCAGACATCATCATGTCAGTCCGAGTCTGATCCTAATCAGACTAATGTGAGAAGATAAAACAGCTTGCACTGAATATGTTAGTAGGCTAATAGATAAGTATGCAGATGTAGGCATGAGATTTATAACTCCAAAACTTTGAATCCATGGAGATGGGACGCATGCCCCCTCGTTGCCAGCGGAACGATCTTTAGTTACTCTTAAAAGCAATCCGGCGGCTTATAAGGCAGGTCTACTGGCTCAGGTATAATAACCATAACCCAACCTGCCGGAATGCTGGGGAGGCCCAATGACCCCAAAGGTGAAACGATTCTCATTGAATCCATTTGTTGAAATAGCAAGCTGTACGATTGACTACTAGATAGCTGAACGAAAAGGACTCGGACTGAGATGCTGATGAAACTGTGTTAGTAACTAGAACAAAACGAGTACACCAAAAATAAAAGTTTGACGCAACGTGAGGAGATACACGAGAGGCGTCAAAGAAATAAATTACAGCCACAACTGAACCCGCAAGTCAATGCAAGATCACCGAGCACCTGAAAAGACAGGTTTTAGAGGTAAAATGGAGAAGAAAGGTGATAAAAAACAAAGCTCAAAGCGATTCCATCCGCTATCATAGCACGTTCAAAGCACCCAATGGAAGCCCAAAAGGTCTAATGCAGAAGGCTCGCCCTGTCATGCAACACCAATCAGTGTTAGCGATACTTGACAAGTCAAGCCTTCTCAGTCTACTCCTGAAAATATGACTACTCTCTGCACTAGTGGTCTCAACCGGGAGGTGCGAAAGCCACCTAGCGACCTGTAGAACACGTTGTTGAACATCAGCAAGTATCTCTTGCGCCGGATTCTTGGATATTGCAAGTTAAAAGAGCCTGACCTTTCGCTTGTAGAAACAAAAATCCAGTATTTACTGGCTTTTAGCTTGTTCTCTCTTCTCAGAACTTGAAAACAGAATACAAGATCCAAGAAAGCACGACGGTTTGTCAAGGATTTCATATGAAACCTCTCAAGCCGGGTCTGGTAATCGGGAGGGGTGGTTCCGGGCGATAAACGTCTATACAACAGTCGTGTAAAAAGCTGTTGAAACTTTTCAATTCTGCGAATATCCTTTTTACGAAAGAGGGACCAGACCTGAGAACAGTATTCTAAATGAGGAAGAACTAATGCTTTATAAAGCGGTATAAGTATCTTCGGAGAACTAGCATTAGTGTTGCGGAAAAGCAGAAAGAGTGAAGAATAAGCTTTTTTGACTAAAGTATTGATATGCTCAGTAAAGTTAAAATTTGTATCAATCACGACACCCAAATCTCTAACAGTATCACAACTCTTCAATATAGAGCCTTTGATGTGATACGCGATAGTATTTCCACCTCCAAGATGAAGCACTGAGCATTTGTCAAAATTTAACGCTAACTCCCAGACCTCACACAATTGGTCAAATTATCAAGAGACCTGGAGCTACTTCCGGATCATAGACTGCAAAAATCTTTATGTCATCAGCATACATCCGGATGTGTACGCTAGCGGAAGTCTTCAAAGTAGAAGGTAGGTCAAGGGTGTAAATCAGGAAAAGCAAGGGGGCTAAGACTCCACCCTGTGGAACACCACTAGTGCAGAAGTACTTTTTGGAGTAACGATGACCAACTCTCACAGTCATATACCGAACATGCAAATAAGAAGTCAACCACGAAAGAAGATTTCCTTTAATCCCTAATTTGTTCATTTTAGTTAGTAACTTAGCATGACAGACCTTATCAAACGCTTTCGAGAGATCAACATAAACAATGTCAACCGATTTGCCCTCGTTGATTGCTAAGCTCCACTCGAACACACTATCAACCAGATGTTGTGGTGGAAGCTCCATTCAAAAAGCCATGTTGTTCATCGGGGATCAAATCCGAAATCTTTAGCCATTCCAAAAGTTTTTCACGTATGATTCTTTCCATGATCTTAACAGGAGTGGGAAGCAAGTAATTGGACGGAACTTATCAATTCGACATGCTCCGTTAGTTTTTGGAATTGCTGTAACCAAAGCTTCTTTCCACAAGTCAGGGACCTCCCCCACAACATCGAAATGTTGAATATATGTGCAAGCGGAGCCGCAAGCGACGAGGCGCAATTTAGGTATACTATTTGAGGGATGCCATCAAATGTTTCAGTTATGGAAGGTTTTAGTTTGATAAGGAACTGGTAGACATTTGCGGGATGAAAATGAACATTATTGCAAAAATGGCGAGGCAGCACTGCTTCAGCGCTTATTCTGTCAGCATCACTATCACTGTCATTAATAGCGACAGGAGAGTAAACGCTGGCAAAATAGGCACCAAGAGCATCTGCCTTATCTTTATCGCTAACATAAGAGGTACCAGAAGAATTTGTCAAAGTAGAGAAATGTTGGGAGGGCTTCATTTTATTCTTCAAATACGAAAAAAGATATTCAGATGACTTTCTTCTAGCAAGCATTCGTTCACGATATGACAAATATTTTTTTATGTGATAGTCTATATCAGCACAAACTTTTTTATACAACGGGCAACTCAAAGGATTGGGCAGAGTATCAAAAAGACGTTGTTTCTGAGATATTAAGGCACGAATGTGTGGTAGCAGGTCGATCTTATGAATACCAGGAACTTTGACCCTAATCGGAACAAATTTGCTAAAGGCTTCATAAACTGTTAGGCAAAATCTTTTGTAGACTTCAGAACATGAGGTATAATTATTGAATAAGGAGAGCCAATCTACACTAAAGAAGTAAGAATCAAGAGAGGAATAGTCAACACTGAGAAAATTAGGCAAGGGTAATGTGGAAGCAGAGGAATTCGAAAATTCGATCTCGAAGTCCTATGATCCGAGGACTCAAGTGGCTGAAGTGTGCCCACATGCGAGATGAGTGGAAAGGCCGAGAGCAGAATGTCGAGAGTATTGCTATCATGAGTCGGTGAGGTCACATATTGCTTTAGTCCACAGTTGTTTACAAACTCCAGAAAAGGGCAAGAGGCAGCATTGAGGGATTTCTTGGCCATCCAATCAATTTGCAAATTGAAATCTCCGAGTATGATAGTTGGAATGTTCTCAGAAGCAAAATTGCTAAGAATCTCCAGTAATTCATCATCATCATTAC